GAGGATTGAATTCCGAGGGAAAAAGCACAGCTACCGGGAAGAATTTCTTGACTTTGGACATCATTTGATATATTGAACTTCTGTTCATCATTAGAGAGTGAAGAGCAAAGGCCAGTGAAATTCAGGGAAAACTGCAGAATCTGGAGGCTTTGAATACAGAAGACAGGAGCCAGGACCTGGGTCCCACCTCAGGTTCCATTTATGGCCACTTCTCTTGCACCTGGTCTTTTTGAAAGGGTACCCCTTATGCCTCCATCTATATGTTTCTCGTCTCTTCTCCCTGCCACCCCCGAGTCCTTTATTAACAATTAAAAGTTTTCTTAATCTCATTACTGAGAAGAGGACAAAGCACAGAAAAGCATACACTACACAAATTAAGTTAGAGAATTTTCATACCTGGGAAAAGGGAGAAATCCCTCCTCCTTCCATCTCCATAGTCCATTTATCTCCATCTTCTTTTTTTTTTTAATATTTATTTATTTTTGATAGAGAGAAAGAGAGAGAGAGGAGAGGAGAGAGAGAGAGAGGGAGAGAGAGAGAGAGAAGGGGGAGGGGCAGAGAGAGGGAGACACAGAATTGGAAGCAGGCTCCAGGCTCTGAGCTGTCAGCACAGAGCCCAATATGGGGCTTGAACTCACAAACAGGATCATGACCTGAGCTGAAGTTGGACACTTAGCCGACTGAGCCACTCAGGCACCCCAAGAATAAGTGTCTTATTTCTTTTCCAACTTACCTATCCCACTTTTATTTCCCAAATTGCTCCATAGGCACCCTCCTCCAGGAAACGTCTCTTGACCAATACTTCTTTCTCAATTTCTATTCATACCTTCCTTTCCAAAGTAATGATGCCTCAATCTCTATCAAGTTACTAATTCCTCCAATTTCAGTCCATTTTTCTCCCTATATGGCTGTAAATTCTGTCTCCCCAAAGAATCTTAGAATTTTTCACAAGGTTTTTGCACTGGTCTCTCAAACAACATCTGAAGAGGTTGGTAAGTATATGGGTAATCCTGCCTCTAGTGGGCTTTCCTGGAATCACCTACTCCCTTTGGGGAAGATGCAAAAGTTCCCCCAAGTAAGAGAGTAGCTTTTTATCCTTCCTTCTTAGGGCAGCCCCCATACATAAATATAATAGAAAAACACTGGCCCTTCTATGGCAACCATAAAACTTTGCTTCAAGAAAGACACCCTGGGGCACCTGGGTAGCTCAGTTGGTTGGGTATATAACTTTAGCTCAGGTCAAGATCTTGTGGCTTGTGAGTTTAGGCCCCAAGTCATGCTCTGTGCTGAGAGCACAGAGCCTGGAGCCTGCTTCCGATTCTGTGTCTCCATTCCTCTCTGCCTATCCCATATGCTTATGCTCTGTCTCCCTCTCTATCTCTGTCTCTGTCTCTGTCTCTCTGTCTCTCTCTCAACAATAAATAAATTTTAAAATTTTTAAAAAAGAAAGAAAGACAGCTTTTGGCAAATGCTGGAGCCAGTTCACCTTCAGGGATTCCCTGGAGTCAGGTTAGAGCAAGCGGGTCTTCTATCAGTTTTACTACTTCAGGCCTCTCCCCCAATCCCGTGGGAATAGTTGGAATGGGACCAGGGAATGTTGTTTCAGGCATTCTCCTGACCCAGTGCTCATGTTTTTCTTTGAATGAACAACACTGCTTTTACTGTTGGGTCTGGAAGAAGGGAAAAATAACCTCCTTCCCTGAGCAAGATTCCACTGTGATGGAACAAACAGAACAGTCACCAGAACTCAGGCATCGCCACTCAAAGGCAAAACTAAAAGTGCCTGGTTTCAGTTCTAGATGATATAGATATAGATATAGTTCTGAATGGAGAGAAATTATTATTACCAAGTAAGTCTCCCTGAAGATAGCTTTTTTTTTTTAATATTTTTATTTATTTCTAGGAGAGAGAGAGAGAGAGAGAGAGCGTGAGCAGGGGAGGGTCAGAGAGAGAGGGAGACACAGACTCTGAAATAGGTTCCAGGCTCCGAGCTGGCAGTCAGCGCAGAGCCCGACGCGGGGCTCAAACCCACGAACCGCGAGATCATGACCTAAGCGAAAGTCGGACGCTTAACTGACTATGCCACCCAGGCGCCCCTCCCTGAAAATAGTTTTAAAGAGTTAGCACAATGCTGGCCTGAACGGAAGGAGCATTTTCCGTATCAAAGAACCGTGCAAGGCTCAAGTCGATTAAACAAGAATTTATTAAAAGCTGCTTACATGCCTGGCCCCCAGTTGGATGCTCTGAGGGAATGAACAAGATACACTCCTTACTTAAGATATAAATCAGGAACAAAATAAAGACACACAGATAATTGTGGTGTTTTATTTTTTCTTTCAGCTTTATTGAGGTATAATTGACAAATAAAAATTGTAAGATATTTAAAGTATACATTGCAGTGATTTGATAGACATATACATTGTTAAATGAGTCATCATGATTTCTCCACTGTGAAGGGATTAAGGATGATATATTAATCTAAATCTTCACTAAATAAAGGTAAATGTCCAAAGGGCACCTCTGTTTCCAACCCTTCCCCTTACATGTGGAGGAGCTTCAGCTGGAGCTTTGGTTTTCAATGTGTGACCCCTGTACTAGGAGCATCAGCATTGCTTGGGAACTTGTTAGAAGTAAAAGTTCTAGGCCCCACCAGATCTACTGAATTGCAAACCCTGGGGGGTGGGGCCCAGCAATGTCTGTTTTCATATGCCCTCCGGTGAGGTGATGCCTACAGAAGTTTGAGGACCACTGAGCAGGGTGGTCCCCCCCCACTGTGACTCTGTTTAGTGGGTTGAAAACACAGCACTGAGAATAACCAGCTCAGACCACAACATGATCCAGTTTTTTGCTGTTGTATTTCATTTTTTAATCCAGAATCAACACACCCACAGGACACTTGCATTACAAGTTGTTCATACACAAGAAAATCTAATAAATGCAGGCTCTCTCCTATAGAGTGGGGGGGGGGCGGTTCTCAGCACTATTTGTGATGAGGAGTAAATCTAGCTTATTTAGTGATGTAGTATTAGCAAGCCAAATAGGCTGCAGATCTAAAGCTGAAGGTTTAATTATCTGTCTCTATCAATTGCTTCCAAACATAAGGGGGAGGGGGGAGATGGGGTGTTATTTATTAGACCTCTACAGCTCCAACAATGGGTTGTAGTGAAAAGTGAGCAGAATACGGGTTCAAATCACATGAAATAGAGAGACTTAGTTGAGACAATAAGAGTACACAGAAACCAGAGGAAATCTTAGAATTATTTAAGTAAACAAAACTTTAGAAGTGATCTGTCTGACTTCTGTTACAGATAAATAAGCAGACCATTGAGGGAAGTGGGAGGCTTGCTCAAGGTCACATGGCTACTTAGTGATGGAAACAAGACCAGGACCCAGGACACTTGGTTCTTCTCTCTGTACTTTCTGAGTAAGTGGACCAAAGCTGATAATTGTAGACAAACCTCAAGTCCAAGAATTCAGCTATTGCCAAGTAGAAGAACCAGCCCCAGGGATTTTCATCATGGGTAGTGGGTTGAAAGCCAAAGTCCTTTGTGCTCAGAGGAAAGCTCAGGCTCCTATCCACCTACCTGTACATGTTCTCTTCTCCCCTCACAGCCAAGGCATAAGCTCCACAGCCTACTCCGTGTGCTTTGAACATTGCTTCATTTTTTTGGTGCTTTTCCTAGTGTTTTTCTCTCTGCCTACAATCTCTCCGTGCTGCAAAATCCTATGTGTCCCCGGGGAGAGCCAATTCAAATGCCATTCCTCTACAGTCTTCTCTGATCTCACCGATCAACCCTTACTACTATGTCAGCCACAAATTATCATCTTCCACTCTGAATTACCAGGACACTTTATTTGTATATTACATAGAACAATACTTTCTACCTTATGTCACAGCTAAGCTTTACCCTTTGTATTAGAATTTAAGCTCCTTAAGGGCAGGGGCCATATTTCATCTCTTTCTAGTATTTTTCTGTTTATTTTATTATTTTTTTGAAGTATTAATTAACATACAGTGTCATTGCATTATTCTCAAGTGTACTATATAGTATTTCCAAGATTCGACACATTGCTCATCAAGATAAGTGTATTTTTAATTCCTTTATTTATTTCACCCATCCTCCCACCCACCTCCCCTCTTTCAACCATTAGTTTATTCCTTGTATTTAAGAGTCAGGGGCAGGTTGTTTTGTTTGTCTCTTTTTGTTTGTTTGTTAATTTGTTTTATGTCTTAAGACTAAAGTTTCACATATGAATGAATAATACCCTACTGATCCATCCATGTTGTTACAAATGACAAGATTTCATTTTTATGACTGAGTAATATTTCATTGGGGTGTGTGCACACGCACGTGTCTGTTAAAACATCTTTAAAAAAATATATTCATCAATCGATGGACATTGGGTTGTTTCCATATCATAGCTATTTTCAAGTAACACTGCAATAAACATAGGGATGCATATATGTATTCAAATTCATGTAACTAAAAAGCTTTTGCATAACAAAAGAAACCATAAAAAATGAAAAGGCAAGCTAATAAATGGCAGAAAATATTTCCAAATGATTTATGTAATGAGGGGTTAATAACTGAAATACATAAAGAATTTACACAACTCAACACTAAAGCACAAATAATCCATTTTTAAAGTGGGCAGAAGTCAAGAGACACATGAAAAGATGCTCAGTATCATTCATCATCAGGGAAATGTAAATTAGAACTACAATGAAATATCACATTACTCTGTTCCATGGCTAAAATAGAAAAGACAAAATAACAAGTATTGGTGAAGATGTCTGGAAAAAAAGGAACTCTCATGCATTGTTTTAGGGATGTAAATTGGTGCAGCCACTATGGAAAATAGTATGGAACTTCCTCAAAAAAAAAAAAAAAAAATAGAACCACCATATGATTCACTATTTCCACCTCTAGATATTAACACAAAGAAAAAGAAATACCTTTTTTAGTTTGTTTTAATAACAGCTTTTTAAAATTCAGTATAGAGCTATAGGGTAAAATGAAAAATAGGCAACTAATGAAAAAAGGACAAAGAGCAGAGACACATCATTCACTTCACGATAGCTACAAACTATTAGTATTCCCCCACACCGACATCCCATGGGAGACCTAGCTTTCCTTGTGCTCAGAGCATCCCGCATAATTGGGCAGGAGACCAGACTTCATTTCACTGTGATGATGTCAAACCAAATATGTACTGGCACTGCTCAGTTCAAGGTCTATAGTTTTGGACCTAACTTAAGTGGGGTTAGCAACTCGGCTGTGCCGGATCCCATAGCCAAAGTAGATAGCAAACCCAATCAGCATCCAGATTCCAAATAGGGCCCAGGTGGTAGCTGTCATCTGCATCATAAGGCAAGCATTCACAAAGATGCTCAGTAGTGCGAGGAGAGGCAGAGCAGGGACCTTAAAGGGAAGGGGACTGGAGCTCTGTGGCTGTCTCCAGATGACCCCAGTGAGCCCAGTAATGAGCACCAGGAGCAGCACAACCACGGAAATCCACACTGGGTCTCCAGAAAGCAGAACTGGTGACTGAGCCAGCACCAGGCAAAGAAGAATGATCAGCAGAACAAGCAGTGAGGAGCAAACATAGACAACCCGGCCAGAGAGTGGAGTGGGGGTGGGGCTGCCTGGAAAAAGTAGTCCCTTTATAGTCAGCTTCTCTGCTGCAGGTCCATTCTCCTCCTGCATCTCTGCTTCATTTCCCCCTTTCTTCACCTCAGGCTGATACCTGAGGATGAGAACACAAAGAGCCACCAGGGAGTAAGCTATCAGGAACGCAAGTGACCAGAGGTCCACAAGATCAATGAGTCTAAAGAAGAAGGCCATGATTGGTGCAATAATGCTCAAAATCACAATGGCCACAATGCGGATGTATGTGCCAGTATAGATCCAGGCAAAGACAGGGAACAGGAGGTGATCCTCTACCATGCTGCGTATCACCCAATGTATGGGGGCCATAAAGCCTAAGATGATGATAGGAAAACCACAGATAAATCCACAAGCTACAACATAGCAGGCAGGGGCCCAGCCAATATTAAGAAATGCCTCAGGCAAGGTGCTCCCACGTTGAAGCTTGTAGTAAGGCACCATAAGCGTAAGAGCTGCAGAGACACCAAAATACATCAAAAAGCAGATGAAGAGTGAAATCACAATGCTCCTGGGTATGGAATGACGAGGATTCTTGGCTTCATCGACCCTGGTAACAATACTGCTGAAACCTATAAATGAATAGAAACACGTAGCTGTTCCACGGAGAATCCCCTGGAAGCCAAAAGGCACAAATCCTCCAGAGCCCAGAGGGCCTAAGGTAGAGGTGTCATTGAGTCCAGCCCTTTTGTAGTCCTCTTCTGTGAGCTTCCAGTTGTGCAGGTCTCCTTTAATGAAGCCAGCAATAATGACAAAACTAAGAACCAAAAGACTCACCAATGTGAGCACTTTGTTAACCAGGGAAATCTCACCAAACCTCAGAGTCAGTAATCCAATGAGAAAAAACACAAGGCCCACAACAAAGAAGTCTAGGTATTCTGCAAAGACCTGGGAAACATACAGTGCAATGCTCTCATGCAGTTTCTGAAAGATCTGGATCCCAAGCAGGCTGGCAAAAGCTAAGATCCACCCTCGGACCACACTGGCTATACCACCAACACAGGAAAGGATGAGGCTCCAGCCAGTGCTGAAAGCACAGAACTCACCTATAGTGACATAGGTGTAGAGATATGCAGAGCCAGAAACGGGAACACGGGTACTAATCTCTGCATAGCACAGCCCAGCCAACACAGTAGATAGGCCAGCCACCAAGAAGCAGATCACAATGGATGGTCCTGCTTGATTGTTGACCACCTCACCAACCAGGACATACACACCTACACCCACTGTGTGTCCCACACCCAGGGCCACTAAATCCAGAGTGCCCAGTCTTCTCTTTGAATCATCCTTAGTCACCGGTGGCTTCAGCGTATATCTGCGTACCAGCTTTTGGCCAAATCTGCGAAGTTTCTGACTCAGCATTCTAGCTGGAATTGAAGAGGATTCCAGGTTCAGAGAGCTACAGCAAGGCCAGGGAGCTGACAGTGTTTGGAGAACTGAATTAACTCGAGTTGATTTGGGGCTGCCAAGTTTCAAGGCTCAGGCTTCAAATATGCTGCATCATCTTTCATCTGGTATGTACTACTCCTTCATAATGTCTAAATATCATATGAATACTTCCTGAACCAACCAACACAGCTCAGACATCCCGTGTCACCTGTTACAAAACAAATATCAAAGAAACAGATATCAAGAGACATCATAGACAAACAGCCCCTGCTTTCCCCACAGAAAAAGTGTCAAATACCTCCCAACATTGTTCTGTTTTATACATCACATGACATTATCCCATTTGGGTTCATCTAACTCATGTAGCTTCAAGTACTAATTAAGCTGTAATACACAACAGAGCATTAATTTATTGTGCAGAAATTCACATGTTTCTGTGGTGTACGTGATGAGCATGAGCTATGACACATTAATTCATGGATTAGAGGGCCTTGTTTCAATTATAGAACCATTTTAAAAAATATCATCTGAGTTTAAAATACAAATATTGGTCCCCTGGCCTTAAAATATTTATCCTCAAAATCATTACCTAAGGAAAAATGTCACTTTGGCCTCCTTTCTCCATATTCTGGATCATCCATTTAAATGTACTGATGGCAAAGAATATACATACAGCCCAACCCTTTGCTTTACCCAACTTGGCCCACAGGAGCACTGTGAGAATAGAGGAAGAGGGAGAAAGGGGCAGGGCCTTCATAACTACCTGCAAAAAGGAGAAGAACAGGCTGTCTGGTAAGGAAACACTGGAGACATGGGTGCAGCAGTCATTCAAGGGTCCATTACTAAGAAGGTTGAAGAGTTCTAAAGGCAAGTTTATAAATTCTGACATTGAATATACCTTACCCAAACAATCAGACAAAATCTACTATAATATTTATGTCCACAGTTATGAGAGTGTGTTGGATAGGGAGAAACAGGTTAGGTGACCTACCTCACAGTAGCTCCCAGCCAAAATAATTTCTTCTGTCTCCTCCCTCTCTGGGATCTAGGAGAGAAGATGAGTTCACTTATGCAGACAGTCTCCTCGCTGACCACACTGCTCTGTAAACACCCTGGGCCATCTGTGATGTCAGAAGTGCCCTGCTCTGTGAGCTTGTATTCAAACTCACTTGTAACTGCCTATTAATGTTTCAAAAGGAGTTATTTTACTGGATCAAACTGTGATCTGAATAGGCCAAATATATTTTCCTAATGAAGGAACCTGGCTGTGGTTCCTTTTTACCCCTCCTGCTGATATTCAAATAGTCTCCACCTCAAAGGAAGCAAAACTTTAGATGAACAATTAATTCACAGAAATTCCCCAGAAATGAGTAATGGAGAACAAAGGAAACAAAGGCACGCAGTCCCCTCTCTCTTTCCTACTCAAGTTGGGAATTTAAGAGAATTTTAGGAAATGTTGTCAAAGGTTTCAAAATGTAAAGGTGTTTTCCGTGGATGATCAAAAGGAAACCTGGGGTTGATGGTTAGACCTTCTGTCTACAAATCCATCTAGACACCTAAATTGCACTCACCATTTCCAATTTTTAAAAAAGTTTATTTATTTTTATTTCTTTAGAGAGAATGAGAGCAGGGGAGGTACAGTGAGAGAGAGAGAGAGAGAGCGAGAGAGAGAGAGAGAGAGAGAGAATATCAAGCAGGCCTTGTGCTGTCAGCACAGAGTTCAGTGCAGGACTCCATCTCACACATCATGAGCTCATGACCTGAGGCAAAATTAAGAGTCTGAGGCTTGGGGCGCCTGGGTGGCTTAGTCGGTTGAGCGTCCGACTTTCGCTTAGGTCACGATCTCGTGGTTTGTGGGTTCGAGCCCCGCGTCCGGCTCTGTGCTGACTGCCAGCTCAGAGCCTGGAGCCTGTTTCAGAGTCTGTGACTCCCTATCTCTCTGACCCTCCCCTGCTCACGCTGTCTCTCTCTCTCTCTCTCCTAGAAATAAATTAAAAAAATATTAAAAAAAAAAAAAGATTCTGAGGCTTAAGTGCCTTAACCACCCAAGTGGCCCTCACCAGTTCCATTTTATGATTTATTCTCAGCATGGGAGAGAAATAAGGAGTACCAATTCTTAACTCATGGACACTTTGTACACTCTGAATGTGATTGATGTGTCCACCACCCATCCTCAGGCTTTACACCCTTCAGTGGTTCCCACTGCCCTTCCTTTATAGTCCTTCCTTCCTTCATCATCTGACCTGTGCTGATTCCTCCACCCTCATTCCCTGACCAGTTTCTGCTCCAGCTGTGAAATTCCACACTCACCCTGTTACCTGTCTCTAATGCTCTCTTGTCCCTTCACTTAGCTACTACCCCCCACTTCTCTTTCAGTTCCCATCTCAGACCTCCCCAGGAAGTCTCTCCTGATCCTTATGCTGCCTTTCCTGTGTCCTTGCATAGAATATGAGCGTTTCTCATGTGCCATTTATCCAAATGTATCCAAAATCCAGGTCAGCTGCCTGCCTTGCCCATTAGACTGTGAGTTAGGAGCTCAATAAATATTTGTTGAACAAATGTACAAACTGAGAAAAAAAAACCTGAAAGAGCACAAAATCAAAAATTCCTATCTCTTGACTTTGAGATACATACTTTGTAGTGAAGCAACCTTTGTAAATCTTGCTCAGGTAAAGATATTAATGGTATTAACATCCTTGTAGAAGGAAAGTAAAATGAAAAATATAATGTGAAAACCAACTGTGATAAAACCTTCACCACACATCATTTATGTCAGATATAGGCCACACATAGGTGGTAATCATTACTTGCCTTTGAGAAGACTTGTTTTAAAAACACCAGGCTGCCTTGGGTTATAGGCAACCAAACACCCACACCCTGTTAAAGAATTCCTATTTATTTGAAGGCATCATGTTCAGGCGCTATAATCTAGGAGGTATGTTCTAAGGCAGAGATTCTCAGTTCAGGGGACAGAGGGAGGCATAATTAAGACACTTGGAGACATTTTCAAACTTTACATCCTCTCCCTCTGAAGATTCTTGTCTAGCAGCTCCCATGATTGCTCTAATCCACCCAACTGACAAGAAATGGTCTTCCATTTTAAAGGGAAGAGATTCTTTTATTTTAATACTAAAAGGTATGTATTAAATCTATGTAAAGTAACATCAATATGCACCCAATATACATTATTGTGAGAAAAAAGAAGTTGGAAAATTATATGTATAGTACAACTCTATGTAATAATGCATAATTTCCATGAAATCTATCTCTATAGTGTATCATTATAGATGTATATTCAAAAGCATGGGCAAATGGTCTCTAAAGGGTTATGTCACAAACTGGGATAATTGGTGATAGGAGAAGAATTGAAGGTTTTCTTTTTTTAATGACAAAGACTTTTTGGGGGTCCTGGGTGGCTCAATTGGTTGAGCATCTGACTTTGGCTCAGGTCATGATCTCACTGCTTGTGAGTTCAAGCTCCGCATCAGGCTCTGTGCTGACATCTCAGAGCCTGGAGCCTGCTTCAGATTCTGTGTCTCCATCTCTCTCTGTCTCTCTGTCATCTCTCTGTCTCTCTCAAAACTAAATAAACATTAAAAACTTTTAATGACAAGGATTTCTAATTTATTTTACATAAAACATTATTAACTAGTAATCTGTTCATTCTGGTATAGCAAGCTATAGCATGATACATTTATCACACAATAATAAATTTACTTTTGTATTAATAATTGACAATTGAAAGGCATTTAAGAAAAGAGCCCAGAACCTCCTTGCTGAGTCATGATGACTGGGTTTGCCATGCTTGGCATGCAGGTCAGAGTAAAATCAATCTTCCTTCCATCCTTCCTTCCTTCCTTCCTTCCTTCCTTCCTTTCTTCCTCCCTCCCTCCTTCCCTCCATCCCTCCCTCTCCCTCCTTCCCTCCCTCCCTCCTTCCTTCCTTTTTTATTCAAGTTAGTTAACATACAGTGTAGTCTTGGCTTCAGGAGTATAACCCAGTGATTCATCTGTTAAGTATAATGCCAGGTGCTCATCCAAAAAAGTGCCCTCTTTCATGCCCATCATCCATTTACCCCATTCCCACACTCACCTTTCCTCCAGCAAACCTCAATTTGTTCTCTGTATTTAAGAATCTCTTATGATTTTCCTCTCTTCCTGTTTTAAAAAATTTTTTTCCTTCCTTTCCCCTATGTTCATACGTTCACTTTCTCACATTCCACATATGAGTGAAACCATATATCTTTCTGTGACTGACTTATTTTGCTTAGCATAATAATCTCTGGTTCCATCCACGTTGTTGCAAATGGCAAGATTTCATTCTTTTTTCATCACTGAGTAGTATTCCATTGTGTGTGTGTGTGTGTGTGTACACACACACACCACATCCTCTTTATCCATTCATCAATCGATGGATATTAGGGCTCTTTCCACACTTTGGCTATTGTCAATAGTGCTGCTATAAACATTGGGGTATATGTGTCCCTCAAAATCAGCATTTTTGTATACTTTGGATAAATTCATAGCAGTGCAATTGCTGAGTTGTAGGGTATTTTAATATTTTTAAATCTATTTTTAATCTTTTGAGAAAACTCCATACTGTTTTCCAGAGTGGATGGATCAGTTTGCATTCTTAGCAGAAGTGCAAAAGGGTTCCCCTTTCTCCAAATCCTCACTTCCTGAAGTTGTTAATTTTAGCCATTCTGATAGGTGTGAGGTGGTATCTCATTGTGGTTATGACTTGTATTTCCCTGATGTTGAATGACATTGAGCATCTTTTCGTGTGTCTCTTAGCCATTTGGATGTCTCCTTCGGAAAAATGTCTCTTCAACTCTTCTGCCTCGTCACTGGATTTTTTGTTTTTTGGGTGTTGAGTTTGGTAGGTTCTTTATAGATTTTGGATACTAACCCTTTATCCAATATGTCATTTGTAAATATCTTCTCCCATTCTGTTGGTTGCCTTTTAGTTTTGTTGATTGTTTCCTTTCCTATGCAAAAGATTTTTATCTTGATGAAGGCTCAATAATTTATTTTTGCTTTTATTCCCCTTGCCTTCAGAGACATGTCAAGTAAGAAGTTGCTGTAGCCTAGGTCAATGAAGTTGTTGCCTATTTTTTCCTGTGGTATTTTGATACTTTTCTGTCTTATATTTAGGTCTTTCATTCATTTTGAATTAATTTTTGTGTATGGCA